ATCATCACTTTCACCTCCCATACCTGTCGTAGATTCCTTTCTACCAACAGAATGCTCCTCCTTCTTGTTTTCTTTTGAGCATTGTTCCTTGAGATGACCTTCTTCACCACATATACAGCAAGTGATTTTCTCTTCAGATGACTTTGAACTTGCAATTTCTTTTCCCTTAGTTCCCCTTTCTCTGTAATCTGATCTTCCTCTCTCCCCATTGGACAAACGCCTTTCTCCTCTTGTTTGTTCTCCAATCTGACTGAACTCAAACTTTTTTACCCATATTGCATTCATCACCCTCTCTATGCTTAGAGGCCTTTCACAATACTCCAGAGTATCCCTGAGATCAGCAAATTTACTTGGGAGGGACAAAAGCAGTAAAATTGCTTTATCTTCTTCAGATACATAAGCTTCTACCTTGTCTAGTTCTGAAACCATCTCTAGAAACTCGTTTATACTCTCTTCCATAGGCTTCTTTTCATCCATCTTAAACCTATAAAGTTTCTTCTTGAGGTATAGACGCCTTGATGGTGACTTAGGCAAGTAGAGATTATCCAGAACTTGTTTGATACCTGCTGCTGTCTTTTCTTTCACCACTTTCCTTAGGATGAGATCTCCGACACTTAGTATGATAACAGATCTGGCCTTCTTCTCTTTTTCTGCTAGCGAGAGATCTTTCTTGTGTTCTTCCTTTATTCCTTTTGAGCTTGAAGACACGTCCTCTGCTGCTTCTGTTACAACACCTTCCTTCACTCCTTTTTCTTTCTCCTTCAGAGCATCCATGAGACCCATGTTCTCTAGTTGAGAAAAAAGCTTTTCTTTTCACGCTGTGTAGTCTCCTCTGCCTTCGTACCTTTCCATGATTGAAATAAAAGGAGAAGATGCGGATCTGTGTTCTTGAGAGACTTGCTCCATAACCTGAAGCTCTGATACCACTTTGTTGAGTTTAGACATGATAAAGTAGCGATCTTTTTTCAGTCTAAACACACATTCTCTCTCTCACTATTAACACTCGTGTGTAAGAAACTTGAGCAAGAAACAGAGTTGTTGTTTGTTTGTTTGAGACGAAGAATTTAACGTGTTCGGGTAAACCCTACTCACGCCGGGAACAACTTGTTAACCCGGAATTCACTAGAATCAACTTTATATAGGTGCTCCATCTTGAGCTTAAAAAACCTTACTTACTTTACAACTCACACTCCTGTCCAAACAAGTCTCTATCATTTCTCACCTAACTTCTGTCGCTTGTCCTCTGCTTTTTCCTCTTTTGTTCAAACTTGTTGCACTTCTGTCGCTTGTCCTCTGCTTTTTCCTCTTTTGTTCAAACTTGTTGCAGAGACAAAACGCACAGCTTTACTTAGAAGGAAACAATCACTTTGGCGCCAACTTACTTCTTCGTAGTCTTGGGTGAGATGGGTTTCGACTTAGTTTGGGCTTTGTGGGTTTCTTCTTCAATCAAATACTTAGATTGCTTGAGAGTCTTCTTATGTCTTCCTTATTCATCTCCGAAACTCGAAGACAAACTCTTACACTGTTGAAGTTATTAATTACCCAAATTAAGATTATGAAATTACTTTGATTAACGTTATCTAATAAGTTGTCCACTTTCTTGTTGATATGTTTTCATCTTCTTTGTTACTCTGCCTGCCATACTATTTTCTTCTTTTTTTTTCATGCTGGGAAAACAAGCATTTGTTCACATCTAACAGAAATTTAATTCATCGTTAATTAATATAGAATTAAAAACACACAAAAGTATGTTATATATCTAAACTACAAAATAGTCCTTTTTCTTCATTTTTTATGGTAACCAACAAAGCTTAAGACCTCAAACTCATATATTTTAAAATTGTTCATTTTTTGATGGCCGGTTAAGACATCAATAGAGTTACCGGCATCGGAGATGACATAATATATATTTTTTTTTTTTGGTAAAAATATGACATAATATGTCATTGCTCATAGCATTATTTTTTTTTTGTTCATTGCTCATGGCATGCTCTTTAATGTGTGAACGAATCTGTTCTTCGATGTAATACATATCATTCAAAGTATTTCCAAAGACTTTCCTCCCTTATTTTAAATGGCGCGTTATGCTTCTAGGCGTGTATAGAACTATTTATGTTGCTTTCTTAATACAAAAAGCTGGCTAATTCTTTCCACAACATATATCTTTTTTTCTTTCTTTGACGACATCAAAACATATATCTTATGGCCGACCAAAAGAAAAGAAAATTTGCATGTGACTCGTCAAAATGCCACGGATACAACTGAGTTATGTTTGGCATAGAGAAAGAACATTAATTATGATGTTAATCATCGTTCATCAACGACTGAAAAAGCAAAATTCATGGGCAAAGAACATAAGATTTGGAAGAGTAAACATCTTGATGAGAAAAAGTGTTTACTCTATTGTGGCATAGAGAGGGTTGTGAAGGAGGAACCGGACCTCGCTGAAGCCGGTTCTGTAAACCGTGCAACCGTACTAAATCTTTCCTCCATATGGGCGGCCTCCCGGAGGTTCCCTTTCCGACCATAGCTAGAAGATACAACACCATAATGAATCTCCACATTCTTTGGTTGTATAAAGATGTTGAACTATAGTACCAATGCTGTGTCTTGAGGGGGAAGGGAAAGTATGAACATGAAATAAGAAAGCGTTCATGGAACTCTAACAACGAAAGGGCAATCTATATATGTATATGTAAATATGTAATGAGTGGTTTGATTTGAATGATGCGAAATTCGTACTTTTGTCAATGTCAGTGTCAAACCAAATGAATTTTAATGATGCTAGATTGGTATTTTCGACTTTAAATGATGCTTTTATAACTTATAAGATTGACTTATTCCTTGGTATACATTCCTGAGTATAATGTCTTTGTGTTCAACTTTTGTATTAGAAGCGTTTATTCACCGCATGTCATTTGTGTGGGTTGGTTGATTTTTTTTTCTTTTTAAGTTTTTTCAAATATTCTTTAAGCAACCATATAAGTAGAAGAGAGAAAAAAACGTCATTCTTTTTTTGTAAACGGAACACCAAAAACACTTTGCCGGTAAAAACAACATATGTACACTTTGATTAAAATAGAGGTCAAACCCAACAATTGACAATTGACCTTTCTAATACCCTCATTGCCTTTCTTTATTTTCAGCCAACTTAAAAGTATTATATGAAAAGGATAACCTAACAAGAGTACATAAGAAGAGAATTTTCAAACCCACTATGTTGCCTTTTGTGATTTCAAACCCACTAATACCTTAGCATTTTGTACATCTTTTTTTATTAAAAATAAAAGTAACACACAACTTTGACCATTTCAAACAAAAATCCATTTATCAATTCACATGTAAAATCTCATGCTGATATATCTTGTTTGCATTTAGCATTTTCGTGCTACATAATAAATTTATTAATACAAAAATGTTTATTAATTCAAACGGGTTTATAAGTTCTTATCAAATCAAGTCATGGCCAAATCTATGAACAAGTGAAACCTATATTGATCATGAAAGGTAAACAAATAGATAGCATTATACTTTTAAGTATCATCTTACGCTTCATAGTAACAAAACCCATACTTAATTAACAAAATTGAGAAGAAAGTCGTAGCATAATTTACCCGAACTAATATCAACCTCAAGTAAAACAAAATACGAATCTTAACCATTTCAGACCTGGAAATCTCCTTAATCTAATGGTTTAATAAAAGTTTACTACAAAATACAAATCTTAACCATTTCAGACGTGGAAATCTCCTTAATCTAATGGTTTAATAAGAGTTTACTAATGCTTCTACACCGAGTTTCAAATCCCAGAAAACGCGATTAAGAAGATTAATGAAGAATGATGTGATGATGGTAAACATAGTACAGATAAAACCATAAGACAATAATATTGATTGTAAAATCGTTGATATAACAGTTCTCTAATTAATAAATCAGTGGTAGAAAAAAAAACCATTTCAAACGGAATCCAATTGTCAATCGAAATTTAAAATATAAAGTTGCTAAATCTGGCTTGCATTTAGCATTTACATTTTTCATAATTAATTTATTAAAAAGGTTCAATATTTCAAACAACCTTCAAAACAATCAAAGCTGAAATCAATTACAATTGTGATGCTAAAAGTAAAAGCCTTCACTTTCGTTTATAATAGGTAACATCAACTGTATACTAGAATGAACAACTTAACAGCATATAAAACGATTACTTAATAAAACAGATTCTGCCTCATGAAGCCTATATTGACTATGCTATGGCAGAGATTGATAGACAGACAGCATGAAATGTCAGAATTTTCTGAAGCCTCAAAGAAACTAACCCATTTTCTAATTACCAAAAATGATAAGATTGCATACACAAAAGTATGCAAAATGTACTTATAACATATAGAATCTGCAACATTACCAACTACTCCTCACAAGGACCAAAATGGGAAGCTATTAAAAGTAGAATCACCAAAAAGTATACAGCTACACTTGGTTCTACTGAATGAGAGAAATGCTTTGGAAACAAGCCACAAAACATACAACCAAGACTACTGCCGTTAAAATGAACTAGTGAAACCCTATACTGATCATGCTGTGTTAAGTAGATAGATCGATAACATTATACTTCAAGCATCTTCTCAAGCTTCATAGGAACTAACCCATTATCTAATTACAAAAAATTCAGAGGATGACATACACAACGTAAACTTGTATCAATCTCAAACTACCCAAACTACGAATTATATTAACCAATACTCAGGCCGAGAGCAATAATTTGGAGACAACCCACAAAGCAAGATAACCAAATGTCAATTCCGAATCTTCGAACTAGTGAAAACTCAAAAGTAACAAAAAGTACTCGTCTAACAGAAATTTCGGAAGCATAGTGATATAAAGATCGTCTTACACAAATGTGAACAATTAAATTGTCTCACTGAAGAAGTACTAAGAAAACCCAACAAAGAACAAGTCTTAGAAAGAACAAAGCTTTCACAAATCGGCAAAAGTAACACCTCTTAGAATCCAAGCTTGGTTCTGCGCCAGTGCCTACGCTTAGCGTTGTACCTGAAAACCAAGCAAACCCACATTAGATTCAACTAACTCTCTCTCAATCGACCAACCATAGAACAAGAACAGAGATCGATGAACCTGATGGTATTGTCAGTGCGGAGACGAATCCAGTGAGGGATAGGCCTGTTCTGCCTCATTTTCTTCCCAAGCTTCTTCTTTATCATGAACGACTTGTGCGACGGCTGTTACATACAATAAAGATCAAAACTTGATTTCAAAGGCACGAACTTTCCTAACATTTCAAACTAAATACAACTCAAACTAGGCGAAAATGGGAGATTAAGATTGAATGAAGGGAGAGAGGGTGTACCATTTTGACGCTCTGCGATCTGCTTCTGGGACTGAGCCGAAACGAAGAGAAACCCTAAATTCTGAGGAAGAAATCTGTAAAATTGTGATGGCGGTGGGTTTTATATGGGGGCACGTTTTTAGGGTTAAAGAATTTTTTTAATTGGGCCGTAAAAGCCCATTTTTTCGGGCCTTCTGTTATTATCAGCCCTGTGCTATTATCAGCCCTGTGCTTCGGCTCATCCATTTTGGAATCTCCATTTCTACTAAAATGCTAAATGCTAGGTTCCGACCGTATGAGTAACTCGAGTATCTAAATTATTTGATTTCAAATGTACCTTTGTCAAATGGTTGCGCCCGATAATTTGGATAAGATATGGTATGACTTACAAAATTGTTTTTTTTTTATTAGAAGTAATATATTTGTGTTTTACGATTTATAGAACTGTTTTTTAGACTAGTTAATAAAATTATTTTTGAAATGTTTTTGTATTTATTGAATGGCTAATCAAACAATTCGGAGAAGATAAATTTTACAGGTGTTCTCTAAATGATTGGAGAAAGGAAAACTCAGACATCATATAATTTGGACCTTCTGATATAAAAACAAGAATCAGCTAGTATAATGCACCAATCTCGCAATTAATTGGTATATGGTTCAATATCTATTTTGCAGTTTGACATTTTCAAACCTTTTCTTCCGTTAGCTGGAACCCAAAAAGGCACATTAATAAATAAATTTATACATATAATAATCAAAGCGAATCAAATTTTACATTACTACAACAATATAGTATTATTCAAGAAAACGAGTTAGGTCAACACTAAACACTAACAGTACTAATATAGGCAAAAGATTAAGGAAAGAGACTATTGTCTAATGACTTCCAACGAACTGAACTAGGAGATAATGTACATAGCCATAATGTGAAAACCAGTACAAAATATCTACAAACGTCTATTTCGGTCTAAAAAATACTATCCACAAAGTTGCTTTCAGTATTTTCTACTCGACCCACTCTTTTGAATTTCACAACATGACAACTCATTTTCAGACACATAGGCACACTAATAATCATATAGAGGATACACTTCATCAGAAATCCATACTTGTGTGTTTGTATGCATGTGCGTATATAAAGTTAAACTAAACCAGATAAGTCAGATTTGAAAGATACATACAAATGAAAATATGTGGTGGCTCCTCTCCCTTGTCCGCCTGTTTCCACCCTTTCGCCACCGATACACCGTCGTCTCTTCCATCGCCATCGTATTTCTCCGGCGACCTCCCAAATCCCACCACCACTTGCCACTACCACACTAACACCGGCGTTTTCTTCCTCTCCTGGTCTCAGTCTTTCCTCCGTCGCTCTCTCCACCTCCATTACTACTCCTGCCACTCCGTAAATTGCTATCTCCATTCTCCGGATTGCTACCGCCACTCTGTTCCATTCACTTTCCGACTAGAGATCAAACCCTTGACCTTCTGGAGAAAACATGGATCCAAGAAAATATCTCGAAAACCGGATATTCGGGTCGTCTGGGACCTAACACAAGCAAGATTTGGATCAGGACCCGACCCGGAATCCGGATTTTACGTGGCTGTCATCGTCTCCGGCGAGGTAGGTCTTCTCGTCGGAGATTCTCTGAAACAGAGGCCGACGAGGCAAATCGTGGTGTCGAGGAGAGATAATCTGTTTGGAAACAGAGTGTACAATACGAAAATCAAGATTAAAGGTAAACTCAGTGAGATTAGTATACACATTCAGGTTAACGACGATGTTAGTCTCCGGTTTAGCGTAGACAACAAGAGTATTTTGAAGATTACGCAGCTTCAATGGAAATTCAGAGGAAACGCTAAGGTCGTGATCGATGGTGTGACTATACAGATATCGTGGGATGTGTACAGATGGCTGTTTGGTGACAAGGATAAGGTGAATCCGGATAAAGTCCCTGCAGTGTTCTTACTCCGGTTTGAGAACCAAGAAGTGGAAGGAAACGATGTGTTGATGATGAAGAAACGCGAGCGAGACGACATCGTTTTGCGGAAGGAGAACTCTCGAACGCCGTGGTTTTGGGCGTATTCATATGGTCATTGGTCTTCTTCTGTGATGGAGTGGTCCACTTGTAAGGAGGAAGATGAAAGGAGTTTTGGACATAAGAGTTGGTTCTCTTTGATTGTCTACGCTTGGAGGAAGTAAAAACTACATCTTTCTTTTGTCCGGCCCAAGTCGGATTTGGCCCACTTTGAATAAGCACCCGGACCGATGTCCAAAAACCTAAGTGGTGGGTCGGAAACCTTTGAGAGATTAGTCTCCTGACCCACCACCACATGTGGGTTTCTGGTCTATACGAAAAAAAATTTCAAGAGAAATCTATTTTCTTCAATAAAGTCGAATTCTTTTTGTTTTTGTTTTTGTTTTTTTTGTTGTATAAATCAATGAATTGTATTCATGAGCCATGAAGAATTGTGTAAGAATTAGTGTTTTCTTTTTCATTTTGTTTTGTTAAAAAAAAACCAGAAAGATACCATCAAAATTGTAGCTAAAAAAATGTTTATTCACTAATCCAAAGAAACATACTCCCTCCGTTTCATAATAAGTGTCATTCAGAGAAAATGTATATGCATTATAACTGGATGTATCTGGATGTGTTTTGAGTTTAATACATCCAGATATATTGCATATATATTTTCCCCAAATGATACTTATTATGAAATAGAGGGAGTATAATATTACAAAGATTTAACCTAACCTATTAAAATTAGAAAATCACATTAAAATATAATTAAAGTTGGAGTATGAAAATTTGGAATGCCCAATTTTACCAAACATGTATCAAATGTTCCACGAATCATCATTAGGGTTTGATTAATAGTTGTGGGTTTCAGAGAATAAGACATTTTATTAATAGCAAGTTAGCGAAACGATTACAAAGAAAGGTATAACCGAAAAGATTATGCTGAAGTGAAAAAGTGTTTTGTGAAGTAAACTAAAAAGCGTTAGAGTTTCTGGATTAGCTATGTTGCTCTCTAGAATGCATGAGTTGTTCTTCTTAGCTTCGAGGTCTTCTTTATTTATAGGGATAGGAGGTCGGTTACTCTTTGTCTTTTTGCTTCAGAAAGTTTTTATCTTGTTTGCCGATTTCTGCAATAATCCTCTCGCCTTGTTGTATCGATTCTTCCTTTTACTCGCCGATCTTCCTTTTGTTTCTTCTTGATTCATTCAGAAATTTCAAAAATGTCAGCTTCGTCTTCGAACTCTTCTTTTGAAGATGAAGAGATTTGTCTCGCCGACCGTGCAAGACGAGCCTGGATTAGTCTAGTCGCTTCTTCTTCTTTTAACTCCGAGGGGTCCTTGGGTTATCGGGATGAGATTCCGTCGGATCATCCTGACGCGGATTCTGAAATGGACTTGGATGGTCCCGGGCCAGCGAGCTTCGAGTCAGAGAGCAGAATCGAAGGCCTTCCGCAGAAGGTCGCAATGTCGAAGCATAAGACCGGTATTAAAGACAGGAGGACCTGGATGACTGCGGAAAGACTCCAGGAGCTTCGCTCGAAGTGCCATTTTCCCGAGGGGGTCGAGCTTCTACTCCCCCAGGTTCACGAGAGAGTGACGACACCCCCAGAAGGCTATTTCTGTTCTTAGGAGTGCCACTTCGCAGAGTTTTGCCTTAAGTTCCCGATTACACTGATTCTCCGTTACTGCATACGGAGGAAGATGTCGGTGGCGCAGCTTTCTCATGTTGTAATTCGTCATTTCAACAGCCTGGCGGCGGTAGCTCGCGCGGCAATGGTTCCTTTTAATTGGGATATTTTTGAAAGGATATCCATTCTGAGGAAGGGAAGGATGAACCACGGCGGGTGGCGCCATTTTTATACTGCGATGAAGGAGGGAATCATCGGCAGGGACCCAGCGAGTAAGGTTTTATGAATGGGATCGGTTTTTCTTCTTCGTGAGGATTAACGAAGCATCCATCGGCGGTTCCGACCTCACCTTATTCAAGACTTGGAGATTGACACCATGTAAGGCGAACCGAATTTTCTTTACCCCCCCCCCCCCCCTTTTTTTTTTTTGCTACTCCTCAGATGCTAATGTGTTTTTGTTATGGTAGTGGCAATACGTCTTGGAGATGACCCGATCAGGTTTAACGACGATGTTAAGAGGCTGCGCAATTTGAGTCGGCAGTTGTGGGCCGAGAAGGAGAAAAAGGGGACTGCTAAAAAGAAAGCAGCCAAACCTGCCGAGAGGAAGGTCAAACCTTCAAAACCAGGTAAACTGCTAGATTGAAGCAATTTTTAATTAGTGCTTGGTGATGAGGTCTTATTGACGTGTTTGTTTTTCAGCTCCTCGAAGGGCTTCGCAGTTGAAACTCGTAGGGGCTGGCCGAAAGAAGAGGAAAGCGGCTTCGCCGGGTGCCATAGATGCTCCTGCGAGTTCTTCTGTAAAGAAGAAGAGGATGACTTCCCAGGATCCACCTAGCTTGGTGGATTCTGATGACGCCGAAGTGGCTGCTGAGAACGAGACTCTTGGGAGGGAAACTCTTTTTCTGGCTTCGCGTGTTATTGAATCGGGCCGAGGAGATCTTTGACGTTACATTGCTTTTGTTTTTGTCTTTTTATTTTTAAAGTTTCTCCAGGGCGGCGGCGCTGGAGAGATTGAGGCAGGCACGGACTGAGAGAGCCACGAGGGGTTCTCAGGGTGAATCGTCCCAAACTCCTACATCTCGAGTCATAGATGGTGGTACCGGGGTTTCTTTTGATGCCGCCGGGAGCCGCCGCGAGGCTGTTTCCTCCCTACCTCACGCTGTTATTCCTTCGGCGCCTCGGGCCGGTGTTCCTTTGTCACCTCAAGCAGACATTCATTCACCGCCTTGGACAGATGTGCCTCGAAGCCCTAAGACACATGTCACAGAAGACGTGTGTCGGGAAAGGACCGAGGAGCCCGCCGCGACTCGTTCTGAAGGGCCTACCCCTCCCGAAGTTGCTCTGGACATGGAAGATGCTGGTCCTAGCGCTCCTGAGGAGGTTGCTCCTTCTCAAAAGGCCGCTGGCACAGATGGTGCAAATTCAAGTGCTCCGGCCGAACCCAAACAGGAGGAGGAGTCTTTTGACTATAATCCTCATCATTTTTGCATGAGATGGGACGAAACTACTATAGCGATGCTTAATCGCGAGTTTGCCGCGAACCTGATCTAGAAGTGTAGGAAGAAGCCGCGATGGGGTAAGCCACTTCGAGAGCTGAAGCTGGCGGAGTCCATATCTTCAGCGAGTCAAATGATAGCTCGGATATTTTTTGGTTATAATATTCTTTGGTTGTGAACGTGTTGTGCCCCTTTATTTGCGTGTTTTCTGACAACAGGTTGTGATGTAGGGTTTGGGAGCGTATATGTCCGCATTCGCGGCATATGACGACAATTTTTGCCAAGAGGAAATGATACTGGACGCTGCCTGTTCTGAGATCAAGGAGCTCAAAAAGGCGGAAGAGGAGAACCATCTTCTCAAGGAGAAGTGTGCTCAGCTGGAAGGCGCCGTTGAAACTTTTAAAGGCGAGGTGGCCGAAGCTAATCGACTTCGCAACCAGGTCGCTGCTCTCCAAGCCTATAACGAGTCTCTCGAAAAGCGGAACGAAGAGAACTTACAGAGATTCCTCGCCGAGAAGGAAAAGCTTCAGGAGTCTTGTGAGGAGGTCGCTCAAGTTGCTGCTGACAGAGTCTTTGATAGTATGACCGCTTGGTTTAAGTCGCGGTTAGATCAGATTCAGGCTTCGCTGATTCAACGTGAAGAGGTGGAAGCAGCCCTTGTTGGCATGGAGAAAAGTAGCCACATGGTGGCCTTCTTGAAGAAGATGCAGGATAAAGGGTGGGAGCTCCCTGCCGGGACCCTTCCGTCTTTCGAGAAAGAGTTCGCCAAGTGGAAAGCGACCAGTGATGCTATCGATGAGATAGTTATTACAGGTGAGGACCTTAATCTTCCGAGCAGATCAGAAATTGATAGCCTGCAAAAGTGAGCTAGATGGCGTGTATCTTTTTTATCTTTCTTCTTTCTTTCTTTTGTAAGAACCTTGCCCGAGAGGGCTTTATTATTATTATTATTATTTGAAAGTTTCTTCATTCTTCCTCTTTTTCGTATGTGTAATAGAACTTTTTAGTTCGGAACTGGAAGCGGGATTCTTTTGCCCGTCTTATACCAAACGACGATCAAGATCGAATACCAATTTTTCGGGATTCACTTCGGCCCGAAAGGTATGGTCGAGGGTCGTGCGAGTATTGTTCTCGGCTTCCTTCTTATCCACTTCGGAAGTAATTAAATCAAATCAAAGTATCATATGAGTGGTGATCAGCCACTAATTTTTATTTGTGATGTTTGCTTTTTCGAATCGAATGTTTGGCCAGAACACTCGATTCAGCAAGATGCATTCGCATAAGGAAATATGACTCTATGCGCCGAGCTGATTTGTTGGAATAAATTTTTTATTAGATTTACAGCTGTACCCGGAGGTTGCCTACGTATCCAAATTGGGATCAAGCCGTTCGTAGTTCATTACAATTATTGAATGAGTGGTATCACTCAAGGGACGAACCCAATTTTATTGAAAGAAAAACTAAGTATCATAGTAGATTCGTCGTTGAATCTTCTTTGCTTTATTTAGCATCTTCGAGGACTTTTGCCGCAGAGAGTCGTACTTTGCGTTCGCTGATAAAGCAAGACCTTGCCATCTGCTGATTTCCGTGGAGCGTAACTTCATGCATTGATGATAAGTCGACACGATAACTTTCATCTCGTGGATCCAAGGTGTGCCGAGTATGGCGTTGTAAATTGCTGGTTTTTCCATCACAGTAAATTTGACAATTTTTGTCACTCCGCCGACATAGACCGTGAGTCGTATGGTGCCGAGGCTGAAGAAGGACTCGTTGGCAAAGCCAGTCAGCGGCTTTGGTGCTGCCTTGATGTCTTTGTCCTGGAGTCCCATCTTGGTCAACGTATCTTTAAAGATGATGTTGACAGTGCTGCCGGTATCCACTAATATTTTAGCCACTTCGCTGTCGTGGATGTGTAGTTCGACCACTAGCGGGTCGTTATGCGGGGTGTGTAACCCGTGCATGTCTTCCGATGTTAATGTGATTGTTGGGTGGTAGTCCACCGGACGAGGAAAATTTTGCGACGCGATTGCTTTGCGGCCATACTCTTTGATGGCGCGAA